TTTTATCCTTGTGGTATCGAAAATGGTATCGAATATTTTCCTGAGTATCGGTATCCAGTTGAACATTTTAGTATCGTGACTATCCTAACAGAAACACATCCTCATCACCCCAGGTCATTAAATACGTCGACTTTTTGTGATCTAACAAAAGCTGGCACGGGAAAAAAGCCCTCTAATTGTTTACAAATGCCTTTGCTGTTGGTAACACACAACAGGCAACATTCTGATAATATACTCCATACTCTTGGATCGAGTCCTCTCCCCGGTTTAGTTCTGGCATTTTGCACAACAGACCAAAATGAGACTCAGCGGATAGCAGACTTTGGCCTGTTTGCTTCCTCCAGAAAAGGAGAAATAAGTCTGCTGGACCATGTTTCCAAACTCTCCTCCAAACGCTCTTTGAAAGGCTCCTAAAAGTCGTCGTTTTTACGCTCCGTGGCTCCGTGTGGAGGCTCAGGACTGAGGTTTCATTACCTGACAGCAGCTAAAAGTTTGTGCAACACATCTGTCAGCAGCTGTGGAAAATTCTCCGTGTATGCGGTCACTCAGCCCCCGAAGCCTCCGATAGCTCCGCATTGTTTTCTGTTCATGGAAAATCACTCTGAGGGGACCTCGCTGGCTGTTTTTGTAATGGGGAATATTTGTTTGGCAAGGCAAGGCAAGGCATTTTTATTGATATAGCGCCATTCATACCAAGCGGCAACTCAATGTGCTTTACATTAGGAAAAGACAGTTTAAATAAAAAAAGAACAGCATAAAACAGCATAAAAAACAAACAAACAAACAAATTATAAAAAATAAAAAAAAAGGTTAAAACATAGTTGAAAGCAGGAACAAAGGAAAAAGCAATAGTGCTCCAGTGCTTTTGCAAAACCAAGATTACAATGTTAAAAAGAACATGTTAAAAAAATATTTAAAAAAGCTCAGCCATAAGCACATGAGAAGAGAAATGCTTTTAGCCTGGATTTAAAAGTGCTTACAGTTGGGGCTGTTTTGAGTTCTGCTGGTAGCTTGTTCCAGTTGTGTCACAGCTCTACTGGGTTTATACTCTACTAACATGTCGTTCATGTATACTGGACCTAAACCATTCAGTGATTTATAAACCAGTAGCAGAACTTTAAAATGGGAGAGAAAAAGAGGAAAACTCCTAGCTCAGATGTGTAACTCTCCATCTGTTCGGGGACAGAAGTGAAAGTTGGATGACTGTTTTTTATAGTGGATTCAAAGTGGATTAGTAAACAGAAAGGCTGACGTCATTAACCCTGTAATGCCAAATGTATCATATTTGATTCATACGGTTTCTGAAATGTTTTAAGAAACCCCAATATCTTATCTCAAAATATTAGAATATCGGATTTTTGAGTTTTCTTCAGCTGTACGCCATAATCAGCTATATTAAAACAATAAAAGGATTTCTATATCTCAGTTGATTTGTAATGAATCCAGAATGTATGACATTTCATGATTTTTAATTGCATTACAGAAAATAAAGAACTTTATCACAATATTCTAATTTTCTGAGACAGTCCTGTATATTG